CATGGTGTTTCTTCACAACAATAGAAACCCTAGTTAAGACAGATGTCTTCTGCCTTGTCATTTGAGACAGGGTCCTTTGTTGGCCAGAATCTTGCTGAGTACGTTGGGCTGGCCAGCCAGCGAGTCTTAAGGGTCCTTCCATCTCTACCTCCCCAGGGCTAAGATTACAAGCGCACTAGCACACCCAGCTTTTTATTTGGGTCCTTGGGAGCAAACTCAGGTCTTCCTGCTCTCAAGGCAAGTGCTTCACTCTCTGAGCTGTCTCCCCAACACCATCATCATTTTGATTTATATAATTTAATACTTATTCATAATTTTAGTTCTACAATTTAATGAGTAGAGAAGATTACATCATTTATATTCATATTCATCTACTGGCTATTTTCATTCTTTTTTCTTTGGTGGTACCAGGGACAGAACTCAGAGCCTGGTGCATGGTGCAAATGCCCTGTCACCATGCTACATCCCCAGCCTCAATTATAGGCTAATGTCTTATCACGTATGCCCTCCTTTTTGGTATCACTTGACCACATTTTACTACGTTTTTTTTTTCCCTTCCAAATTGTTAAGAGATACCAATATAAGATCATCTCTTTGTCATTAATGTCTATCATTTGCTTTCAGCTTAAGGTGTTTATAATCAAAATTTTACATTTGTGTTCATTTGCTCATAGACAAAATGCATCCTGAGTTATAGTCAGTAGACTCACAAGTGGGCTTTTGAAACATGAATTTCCAGCTACACACACACACAGTCTTTAAGCAGTTACTTCGTCCCGTGTCTTGCCATCTTTTCTGCACAAGGCAGGGGTCACATTTTTTAATCCCTCATAGCAACCAGCACATAACCCAAAACACAGTAGAGCTCGAAATGCCTGCCTGCCTGCTTGGGATAAAAAGATATTGTGTCTGGAGATTTGCTTTGAAGAAACTCAGTTTGGGATGGGATGAAAATGGGACAAAGATGAAACAGAATTGGCCACGTGTCAATCATCGTTGAAAGTGGTGATGGGTACATGGAGCTTATTATACTATTATGCCTACTCTTTTGTACTTTCTTAAAATTTCCATAATCAAAGGGTTTTTTTTTTTTGAATGTGTGTTTGATTGATTGGGCAACAAGAGAGGGAACTTCTGGGATAACAATGGCGGTGAAAATGAAATACATATGCATCAAGGCCACTTCTACACAAAAACATCCCGAGCCCCGAAGTCAATCAGCTCGAGTAAAAACCCCCGTCTAGCTCAGTGACCTCAAACTGCTACTCACCTCCTCTGAAACTCAGCTTTTCTTTATTCAAAGGCATTAGTAACTATGGAGAAAAGGTTACAGTGAAGACCAGTGAGTGTAAAACTCTGGGCTGGCACCAGCACACCCCACAGTGACCATCATTGTCATTTGATGATGAATGATGCTTGGCAAACTCCTGCCAGCACTTCCTGATGCTGACAGTTCAACTCCCAGTCACCACAGCTGAGATCTCAGCTCATCAACTTGGGCAGTAGACAAACACTTGGCAGAGACCTTGGTAGGACATATATTAGGAATTATGTCCCCAGTATCCTGAGAAGAAATAGACACCACCACCATGAAGGACAAAGCCTGTAGCAACTGACTTCACTCCAGGTCCCCAAAGAGCTGAACCCCACATCTCAATGGTGCATTCAAGAAACCAGAGACAAAGCCATTCCAAAATAGGTTTTAATTGTTGAACAAATACTGACATTACCCCTGGGGGGTGAGGAGACTAAAAATATACCTGTGTCCAAGAAGGCTCAATAAAGTACTTAAACCTTGCAAGCACAAGGTCCTAAGCTTGACGGCAGAACCCACATAAAAAGGCTAGACACAGTGACATGCCCTTGTGACTCCAAAGTTGTAGGGGCAGAAAGACGGGGCTTACAGGCCAGCCTAAGCTAATTGGTGAGTTCCAGGTCAGTGAAAGACTGCCTCAAAATTCAAGGTGGATGTTTCCAAAAAGAACACCACTTGGGATTTCCTCTGGCCTGCACATATACACGCACACATGTACATGTGCAACCACACACACACATGTGCTTGCACATGCACCTGTACAAAAAGCACATGTATAACCATACACACATGTGTACCTGACCACACACGTAAACACATACACACAAAAAATGTCTGTGTCTGGATGTGAGCCTCAGAATTATTAGATTTAGTGGTCTGGGGCTGCCCTTCACGTACTGAGAGTTCAGTGATGTGCATGCAACATCTCTACTGTAAATGAAGATGAGCCATCCGTGTGTGAGCCAAGGTTGGGTGTAGTGGGGGGGGGGGGGACAAAGGGAGAAAGAAGAAGCCACAGAGTCCCCACATGAGCCTCATTAAAGCTAATTCAGTCATGTGGCCTCCAGCTGTGCCTCATGCCAGATAAAGCCAATCCCAACAGAGTCCCCATCATTCTCTCCTTGTTCTTCAGGAGAATGACATCTGTAACAATTCCCAGGACTAAGGAACGCTACTAATTCCAGGATGCACACATGCCAATATTCTAAGGAATGGTAGAGCAACATAGCTTGTCTCTGGACTTTGCTCTTAGGGGGATAAAAAGAGCTGGTTGAGTGATGACGGGCCATGGGGGAAGGAGACAGGCATTCTATCTCACAGCACTCTGGCCTCTCAGCGGAGTGACTGAATCACGCTCAGGGTGGCAGTTTTGTGAAGTTATTGCAGCATCTTTGATGGGGGTGGGGGGACACTTCCATTTAATCCCTTGAGCTGGGATGATCTACTGACTGGCTGTCTAGCTGTCCACCAAGCTGAGCCAGCCTGAACTGTGGACACATGGCAGTGCTTAACCTGTCACATGAGCAAGGGATACCTGACAGTCTGCACTGCAGGGCACTCTCATTTAGCAAGTCAGCCTGGACTAATCTGCAAGTTCCTTTCCTTGAGCAAACACCACCTGGTCGGGCCTGGCCTTGCCAGAACAAAAGCCGGCCAGCGGCTGTCTGTCATGAGACAGCAAACACTTCAGAATCAGGAGGGCAGAGGTCAACCACTCTCATAAGCAACACATTCAGGACTCCACGAACCTCCAGAAGGGAGGAAACAGCTGCCCTCAGCTCTGCCCCCCTCCCCATCACCTTTCCTCCGCAGGTCTCAGCCTAAAAGGAACCTCAAGAAGGTCTAATTTCCCCTCTGAGGATACGAATGCTCAGATGCACTTTCAAATACAGACAAAGGTCACCACATTCTTTTTACTAGAATAAATACTAAACTTGGGAAGTTTCACCCAAAGGCTGTGGGTGCCCTCCCCCGACTCTTAAGTAGTGCCACCCATAAAGACCTTGGGGAGATCTAAGTTGGAGACCCACAGTGGGAATCACGATGATGCTGATGAATGCTTACATGGCGCCCATATGTCCCAAGTGTTTCATATATAATCCTCATCCCAGCCTTACAAGGGAAGTGAAATAATAACCACTAATAATAGTAATATGTCATGCATAACATGAGAGTAATATATAATGCTTATGACATCATAATAATGTATCACACATGTATAACATAACAGTCATGAAGATAATCGTCTCTATTTTTTTTTTCAGATAAACACCCTGAGAAGTTAGGTGACTTGCCTGTGTGGGTTGGCCTCAAGCCCAGGCAGTCAGCCCCAACCAGGCAGAGTGCACCAGCCACAGCCCTAGACTGCCGCTTCCTAGTGCAGACCTCAGAGCCTCCTTTGAGTCTGCCAGTTCAGAGAGCAGCAGGACATAGGGATCTTTGGAGTGCTCTGGGCTTGAACCCAGCTCTCCACTCCAAGGCATGAGGGTGCATGCATCTTCCATAAATAGGAATAATGACACTATGTCCCATGGCTGTGCAAAGCTTTAAACAGGAAGTCAAAACAAGTACCTCACCTGGGGCTGGTGGCCAAGGTCACTTTATCCCTGTGCTCTCCAGCCTGGCTCTCCAGACTGGTTACAACTTGGAGTCAACTGACATTTATAACACTAAAATCCAGTCCCCCACCAATCATCCCTCTATATGACTATCCAACAGGGGGTCTGAAATCAGTCATGCCCTAGACCTCACCAAGAAGGGAAATCTGAAGCTCCTTTGACCAACAGCCACCCTGTGTCCCCTCATCCAGAATCACAGAGAAGCTTTTAAAAACCTGAAACTGTCACCTCCATCGTGGAAAGTGTAGATTCTCTCTACATGCTGTTCTACTGGATTAGGAGGGTTGTGGGGGAGGGGAGGGGCTTACCGCCTGCTGTGACTCTCTCTCCCCACAACAGCACCTCCATGCTTCTGACACACATCCTGACTCACAGAAGCCTCTCCTCTCCTGGGACCGAGGGAGCAGCCTTGAATCTTTCCCAAGAGGTACCTTCCTGTCCCACCGCTGCAGCGTAAGGCACCCTCCCCTGCTTTTACACCAAGCACTAGGCGGAAAACGGAGCAGAAGTGGAACCTACTGAAAGAGTATTTAAAAATCTCAGTGCGTGCACATGGGCGGAACACATGGGCGCACACAGAGTCCAGGAGCCATGGTACACTTTGTGCTCCAAGAAGGCGCTGGCTGCATCGTTCAAGGAGGGTATGCATGCGGCAAGGCAAGAGCGTGTGGAGGGGGAAGCCGTAAATAGCGAAGGGAAGACTGGGGTTGCCTGTGGAAACTGGCAGGGGCAGGAGAAAATAATCCGCCCACATTTGACAGGAGAGAAAAAAAAAAAACAAAAACGCAGGTCTGGCCCTCAGAAAAGACAGCCAGCAGGGAGGACAGGGACCCAGCCATGCCAGTTTCCTGGCTCAGACTCCCATGCATCTTGTCAGGGCCCACTGCCAGTTGGAAAGCAGTGGCATGGAGGGCCCCGAAGGGGAAAAGCAGTACGGGGGAGTTGAAGAGCCACTCACCCGGCCCTTGCCCAGAAAGTGAAGGTACCAAATGACCCTCACGTTCTCTGGACATCGCCCGTCTGCCTCAGTCCAGCAAGCGACCTGAGAAACCCATCTGAGGCCTCACCTGTGTGAAGGAGCCGTCCTCACCACACTCTGGGACAAACACGGCCTCCTGAGGCTTCTTGGCCTGTTCCAAGGCCTGAGCCCTCTCCAGGCGACACTTGCTCTGGCCAGCATCTAAACGGGGAAGGGTGGGGGAGGAGTACATTGTATGTTTCATTTGGATGCCACACAGAAGTCAGGGTCCAAAAATGGCTGCCCCATGGCAGGAACACTGTGCAAAACCCTCCAGCTGGGGGAGGGGTGGCATGCCACCACCCTGACCAGCAGTAAGAGCACACACACAGTGCCTGTGCCCACAGATGGCCGCTTGAGCTCACCTTCCTCTTAATGCTGAACTTAGAAAAGTAGAGGAGAAGCAGATTAGCCCCGGCTCTGCTTTTCTTTTTCTCCCAAATGCCCCTTTGCTCATGGGGTGAGGGGTAGTTTCCATTTCCATTAATTTTCTCGGGCTTTTCTAAAGCTAATAAATCCAGGAACAGCAAAAGGAGTGGGATGGTGTATGCCTTTAAGGTCAGTCCCAGGAAGGCTCTGATAGAAGGCCTGTAGTCAGCCTGGACTACAGAGTGAGTGCCAGGCTGGCCAGGGCTGTATAACAACGCTAGTGCTTTCTTGAGAAAATCCAGTGTCTGGGACAGCCTGCCAGCCTCCTGCATTGCCTATGATGGCTTTAGGCAGTCGAGGGTCACAAGCTCAAATAGCTACAGGACTCAGGAAAGCAACACAGATTCTGTCTGAGAAGAATCACATTCAGTGCTCAGAAGCCAGAAAGAGGACTGGGGATTGTAGCAAACCAGAAAGCAAGCTCTGCTTCAGGGGCTGGAAGCTCCTCAGCTCTGGTGATGTGTTGCTTTCCCCGAACAAACCTGATAGTGCCAGACCTGACGATTTGGGAAGAGAGGAACAGAAGGCCAGATTTGTTGTTGCTGTGACTCTCCCAATGTTTAAATGTTATCTCAAATACTTTTCATGTTTTAAAACAGATCAAACAAAACACTTCTGTGAACCAACCATTTGGAGTCCCTATTCCAGGGCCAGCAGTAATGTACTGTGTCTCCACTTTGAAACAAAACCACAAGCCAGGCGCTGGCCAGAGAGACCCTGCGCTCCTCACTGGTGGCAGTGTCTGAAGAGTGGGGAAGTGCTCACCTCTTCAGGCACTCTTCCTTCCTTCACACTGATGGAAGACACAGAGGGACACGGAGCAAAGGCATCCAAGCTCCCATGAGGCTATCACAGTGCAGGAGCTGCGGTCCCAGCAGCCTTTGCTGGCCGAGTGCAGGTCACTCACCTTTGCATTTCCCTCGATGGACCACTCCCAGGGCTGGGTCTCGACACTTGGCTCTCTGGTACTCACACATGGACTCATAGGACCTGCCATCAGAGGCACAGATGGGTTTGGGTTGAGTCCTGGAACAGTGGAGGTTGCATTGAGGATCACGGTCGCTTATTAGAAACTACATTAGGAGAGAAAAAAAATGAAATGGCATAGAGGTTATTTTTGCAAGAAAAATAGGGAGAAACCCACGGCTTACAGTATTGGCTTGTCCTTGGTAAGTAAATTCCTGATAAATCTTGTTATAAAACCCTAGAGATAAAGGGACCAAACAGATAGCACGTCTATCTGAGGAAGACTCCCTGTATACATCCTAAGGATAGTGAGGTCCGTTTATTGACCATAAACAGGCTGTGCCAAGTGGTTCACATGCAGGATCTTGTCATTCATCACAACTACCCTGTGAAATAGAACCCCTGACTTTGTAGATAAGGAAACAGCAGCCCGGGAAGGGGTGACTGGACCAATGTCACACAGCTGTGAGGAGTGGGGATCTCAGTCCACGCCTAAATCTGTGGGAAAGAAAATCAAAGCTTTAACCTGTAAGACAGTCATCTTCTCCACCCATAGGGATGGCTATTGCCACCACTATTTAGACTTCCCTTAAAACAAGAACTCAGTCTCCAATTTCTGTGCGGAAAGCTTTATGTATTAAATAATAGCATTAAACCCCAAATCTATCTCCTGCCCATTGCATTTTTATGTATTCTAAGGGAATACATAAAAGCTAAGTGAATTTCGGTAAGAAAATTATTTCCCGATTTCAGATCCGGCAATGATAATAATCAGCTTGGGAAACACTGGAGTCAAACAGAATTCTTTAGGATCGGAATTCTCAAGACACCTTCAACAAACCCTTACGCGCTGCGACCCTCCAAGTCCTACAGTGACTTAAAGATACCTACAGGTCATTCACCACCTCGCCTGTTGAGCTGTAGGGTCAAATCTAAAGCTGCATGGCACTCGGTTATTTATTTGACCAGTCAAAACCTGTGGAAGTGATGTTTGGAGGCTTCACCACGTCGTAAAGCTAGGTTCTTGCAGCTTCATGCTTCTAAGGTCAGCACGTGTGGAAAGCACAGGAAGAAAAGGAGATCCCAGGCACAGGAAGTGTGAGGGGAAAAAATCCTCGTGATCACTGTAATCCAGCTGTCGACTGACTGCAACCCTCGGAGATGAAAATGAGAAGGACCACCCAGCTGAGCCCAAGTCCTAAAACAGAACTGGAACTGGCCCTGCTAATCCACTGTTTAGAGCTGGTACATTTTGTGGGTTTGCCATACAGCAATTAGTAGCAGGACTAAGAAGCATATTTGACAATGAATCTTCCAGAATTACCAAACCAGAGACCCCTTTGTCAGTGAACCACTGTTAACGGCTGTAATTGCTCAAGTACAGCCTATGAACTTCTTTCTGCCGAGTGGCCCCCGAGGAGACCATCTGGGCCTGGAGCGGGACCCACAGTAGAGCCCTGGGCAGACACTGTATGTAGTCCAGTGGTCCTCAAACTTCCTAATGCTGTGGCCCTTTAATACAGTTCCTCATGTTGTGGTGATCCCCCAGCCATAAAATTATTTCATTGCTACTCCGTAACTGTAATTTTGCTACTGTGATGAATCGTAATGTAAACATCTGATAGGCATGATATCTGATTCACAACGCCCCCCAGGGGTCATGACCCATAGGTTGAGAACCACTTCTGTAAGCTCTCTCGGTGGGATGTGAAGGCATGATGCCTGGCAGGGTCATGAGCATACAAGTGACTGTGGGCACTGTTGGTGTTGACAGTACAATTGCACCGGGCGAGCAGATCTAGAAGGTGCAAGTACAGGAATGTCTTGGATGTGCTGTAGTCCCACTGTGTGAAGCAAATAGGTAAGAGCCTGATAACACCTTCACAGAACCACACAAAGGAAATGCTGGAAACAACCGCCCGCCACATACATTTGAAGACCCCCCCCCCAGGGTGTCCACTATTTCACAGAGCACACCCCAGCTACAAAGTCCCACCATGACCCTGTACTAGGGGAGGATTCTCAGTGCAGGAGGGCAAGAGTGAGGAGGGTCAGTGTGCTCTGGCCTCTCAGAGGCCTATGGTTGCCACACTGAGGGTGCCTTAATGGGAATAGAGGGAGCATCGGCCTCTGCAAACCACCCTCAGCCCTGGATCCCTGCTTAGAACCCATGAGGTGTCCACCTGCCACTGAGACAGATCAAAGGTGTTCCAGGTCGACAGTAAGTGACCCCAGGCCCCTCCCTGGCCTCCGTGCTAGCATCCTGTACCCCCTGCTTTCCACTGCTCACTTACCCAGCCTCTCTGATCTTCTAGCCAGCTCCATTTCCTTCCCCCAGGCCTATGGATGTGCCCCTCCTCCATCTGCTTGCACCCTGCTCTGCCTTTGGGCTCCACCTTCTTTTTTCGGAGGCTTCTCCAACTCTCACAGGCAAGGACAGTCCCCATCTCTCTCTCTCACAACTCATGCTTCCTATGTGGTCTGAGATGATGAATTTATTTGTGTGGCTTGATTGACAATGGGATTCCCCCCCCCCCAACTTGGAGGTCCAAGACAAGAAGGATTTAAACTGTTTTGCTTGGAAATGCATCAGAGCATCTAAGCACAGCGCTGGACTGTTTGACTATGTGTGGAACGAATAAAGCCATTAGGGGTACTTCTCACATGGAATTACCTCAGAACTGAATTGTATAGTTAAAGGCCTAGCCTCCCTCCCAGATTCCCATCACCAGGCTCTGAGCTCTGACTTCCTCTAACCTCTCCATGGCAATACAGCAGCCAGAGGTGGCCCAGAGCTCCCTGTCTTGATGCCACCTCAGACCAGAAGGCTCTTGAGGGCAGGGTTATCTCCTCTCAGGCTCTTAGCTCCTGACTTGAAGCCAGATTTTTGCAGCAGGGTGGGTGTTCTGGTGTACTGTGTTGGCCTGCAGCATGAGCAGCAGTGTGGCTTGGCAGTTGGGAGCATGGAGGCAGGTCATGGGCATGGATTCCGGCACCCACACAGACCCTATTGAGTCTTGGGGAAGGTGCCTGTGTTTTCTGGCCCTGTGACAATGTTTTCTCATCTGAAACAATGAGGATACTAATATGCCCTGCCTTGTGTCACTGTGAAGATCAAACTAAGCTAACAGCGCCTCAATCACATTTAGGGTTTTGCTCATCTTTGAAATTTAAACAGCGTGGTTTTCTTCTTAAGAGAACACACCAAGGGAAAGACAACGTTTCTTTTTAAACCAGCAGAGGTTGCCTTGTCTGCTCGGCCGCTCACAGAGGACAGCTACAGGCGTCACCGTGGCATTGAACTACAGGTCATAAATTCAGTTTGGAAATGGCTTGTTCTGAGCCAAAAGAGACTCAGGGCAGCTGTGCCAGAGACCAGCCTGACAACAAGGGGAGCACTCTGTCTGCAGACAGACAGGTTACAGAGCCTCAGAGCCCCACCTTCCCAGCCCACGGAGGTGGTCTCCGTGTCAGTGGCGCTCCCACAAGAGGCCTGTCTCAAATTTACTGGCCCCTGGGGTGCTATAAAAACTTCAGGGATAACACAGGGCCGAGGCTAAAGACCATCTCCAATCAACTATAGACCCTCGTTTTTGTGTGTTTGGGGAACTGTGTGTATTTGTGACTGCTTTCAAAACACAGGCTGCGCTTTATAAAAACGGGGCTTCAGTCGGGTGCCTCTGCCCTCACAGAAGAGATCAGCCTTCATCCTGGAATATGCAGAACAAGGTCCTACCATCTACTCTGTAGCCAGGAAGCTGGGGTAAGGGGAGGAAGGACACTAGCTGAAGAAGCCACATGCTCTACATAGACACTGCTCACGGTGAGCTCCCGCTCTAGAATAAGACACCCGGCAAGCAGCTACCCCACAACATGTGAGCAGGGACACGAAAACGGGGTGCGATGCTAGAAGCTTGCGATACTACAGAGCCACACAGTTCCAAAGACCTTTTCCTGATGATCGAATGTTCTGTGTCCATGCGGTCCAATACAACGGCCACAGAACACACATGATTATATAGCAAATGCGATTAAGAGACCAGATACGTCGTTGTGTTTAATTTCAGACGGCTATGTGTGAATAGTAGCTACCATCTGCAATAGACCAGCCATGAAGTAAATAAACCAGGAGGAGGAGGGAGAGGAGAGGGAGAAGGGGGAGGAGGAGGGGGAGGACGGAGAGAAGGAGGAGAAGGACGGGGAGGACGGGAAGGACGAGGAGGACGAGGAAGATGAGGAGGAGGACAAGAAGGAGGAGAAGGGGGGAGGAGGGGGGAGGAGGGGGGATGGTCCTTCACTGAGTTTGTGCTTGTGTTTCCTGAGACAGGGTCTCACTATGTTACCAGCCTGGCCTTGACCTTGCACCTGCTCTAGCCTCTTAAGCTTGCACAACCACATCCAATCTCCAGTGAGTTCTTCCTAGAGCCGGGCTAAGACTTCTTGAACTAAAGCAAAGAGATCTTGAGAATAATTTCTGCATCCTGAACATGGACAGTAACTCAGGTTTGTCATAGTCCAAATGAAGTCTCCAGGATAGTTTTTTCTTCCGTCTTGCAGGTCACAGGAGGTACAGGCTAGAATCATTGAATCAAGCCACGTTTATGGTCAGTGCTCACGGCACACAGATACAACTCAGAAGAACTGAAGCAACCAGGATTGGCAGGAATGTTTGGTGATGGTCGTAGGGCCAATTATTCTCCCCAATGATCCAAACACTTAGTCATTTCCCTTAAGGATGAAAACTACATTTTAAAAAAAAACAAACAAAAAACTCCTTCCGAACTAAGAGACAAGAAAAGCAAAATAATAATGATGTTAAATATGATTGCATAATACAGAAACCGAACAAAGGGGGCCGGACAATTGTGCAGCTGTAATTGTCTCTCCCACCCCTTCTCCCTGGGGACTGGATAATTCCGAACACTTTGTGTTGTGCTCACATTGGCAAAGTGGGACAGACACTTGACACACATATAAACAAGTTACCCTCCCATTAAAAAAGTCACTCCCCAGGGACTGCCTCTGCCACAGGGAGGAAACGGGAGCAGACAAAAATCAAGGCTAGACTAATCATCCCTTCCATCTGAAATGAACATATTCTGGTCCC